AAATTGCTATCTGGGTTTATCCTTCTCCAAGAAGTGCTACGGATTCCAAAATCAAAATGGCGCCGTGCAATTGTCGTTCCACAATGGCACATATCAGTATATAGTATTATTTCATCGGAATTAAGTCAATAAATGGTGAAAATATGGTTGACAAATATAGTAAGATTCAATAGCTCTAAAAATATGGAAGTATTTTTATATTTAAAAAATTCTACGTTGTATTTATTGGTGGAAATCACTAAAACACTTGAATATCGAGTTTCGTTTCTGGAGATTCCATACGTAATGTTTTAATATCAAACGTTCCAGTGTGGTGAAGTATTGTTTTAACCACCGGAGGGTCGAGGATTTTAGAATCTATCCTCTTGAGACCCTACAACCATTTAAATGCACATTTGTGTTTTACTTACAAAAAAAATTGCTTTCCATTCAAAATCCTTAAATCCCGCTGCACAATGCTTTGGATGGTCCAATGCTTTCATCTATTAATTATATATAATTAACTATTTTACTTAATTATATTCATTAATATATAATTACTAAATAGATTATATACAGTGTTATATAATCCTAACAAGAGTATTTATCTCGAATTTTGTGAAAATTGGTGGAAAATTATACTTTTGGGTCTCAAGAGGCTATGCCAATGTGACAAAGCCATGCACGAGTCTGGTCGACATTAAAACAATCGAAATTTAACATCCTTTCTCTGCTGTGGTGCGGAAATTTGGAGGGGGGGGGCTATCCGAATTAGGCTTCGTCTTTCTCATCTGATCACGGTTTACAGCTAAGAGATTCGTCCCATGCTAAAATTCGTTTAGTTATTCTATAAGCGCTCGCTATCTGTTGCAGTTTTAAGAATAAAATATTTGATCTATAAAATAAAAAAATGATATTTAAAAATTTCAAGTATAGTTATGTTCAAATTAGAATATATATGATTATAAGAATGTTCTACAGCACAACACACATATAACCACTTATATAGTAATCCCGAGTTTACTCGTGCATCGAATTATGGCATTTTTACACTTATAGTCTGAAATTACAACATTTGTAGACGTTATAATTCGACACAAAAAAATGAAGAGTAACTCATTAATAACTCAAATGTTCTATTGACTTTTAATTGAATCAATATGACAGCACATTCCCAAAACAGAAAGTGTCATCTAACTAGACAGCAGAAAAAATGAATTAGTTAAGTGGTTAAAAATTGCTTATTCACTGAATATTTTTACAGTTGCTAGAAATACCAGGAAAATTTGAAGATATAATGCCGAAATAAGCAAACATTTGCATATAACTTACTGCATACGTAATATTCTGAAATATTTAAAATAACATTTAAACAAAGACTTGGAATTTTTTAGTTCAAGAATTTTAAGTATTATTATTTTGAAAGATTGATTTACTACACACTTTAAATCATTGGCCTTAAAAATCGTCGTTATCCATCATTTCGTATTTAATTAATTTCGGAAGACATTTTTATTCAATAGAAAAACGATATAAAAACAAGCCACATATATAGAAAAAACATTTCAGGTATTTTGAATAAACAAAAAGAGTTTATCTCCCTTATTGTTTCTTAAATTTTTCCCAAACAAAAGTAAGTCTAACAATGATACCTTTCTCCCGAACTTCGTGGCATTCAGTTCTTTTGTACGTTTTGTTCCACAGAGAATAGAATTACTGTGGTAAGATCTCTTCCTCTTTTGCAACTGAAACCAAATTCAGTTTCTCTCTATTTTGTCCCAAACAGTCACAGTCTGGTTACGGTCACAGTGAAAGCGAAGTGCAATTGTTTAAGCGAAACAATTAGTTCTTTGTCTCTGCTTGTCGCATCTTCAGGGGAACATTTGCGAAACAATTAACGGGAAAACGTTCTTTTTGTGTTCTTTTCTCTCTTTTCCCGCTCTTTTCTTCCATTGTTTCGTTTAGTGATGCAAAGTTAAACGTACTTTTATCAGAATGCTGCACAAAACTCTGGAATTAACTGAATTCTAACGATAAGACTTAATGAGAACTGTAATTATTTGCCGAACATTCTTTTGTGGAAAGACTTCTTGTTCGAAATTTCTTTTGCTTTTGGAAATGTTTATCCAGTGAAAATATAAATATCGTTTGTTTTATTTAAAATTCTTAGTTTCGAAATTTAATTTGTGCTGATAATAATCTCGTCTGTTACATAGAAAATATAGGTTGCTAATAGGGATTGCAATCCGGCACCAATTTCAATCCGGCCGGATTCCCATCGATCCGACCGGATCCGGCCGGATTGGTCACATCAAAACTATTTTGCCTTTTCATTCCAAAATCAATTGTATAAAAGATGATAAAGTGTGTGTATTACAAAGTTTTGAAAAAAAGCGTTAATTTCTTATGAAATCAACTTTATTTACACTGTTATAATTAATCAACATTTACGTATGAATCAACAATAAAAATTTAGTACAGTGTAACTAGTTAAATTGTAATTGTTATATTAGTTTAGTAATAATTAGATAATGACGAGCGGTTAAGTTCAGTCTCACTTACTAGATTTCACAAATGTCATCAATGATAACTTGTAATGTAACTTATATTAAATCTAACTAAGTCAAGCTCATCAACTGAGATCACAATAATTAGGTATTTTAGACACGCCAAGCAGTCTCATTCTTATAATTATGACAGTCATCATGAATCTGTTTAATCAATGGCACAATTATCACAATAACGAGTTTAAAACTTCTTCGTGTTTTTTAATATACTTACTTTAAATTATTATTTTAAGTAAAACAAAAAAAACTCACTTTGGTTTTGAAAAAATTATCGTAGGAAAAAAAATAGTGTTAATTGTGTCATCTGCAATCGACTTCTTACAAAACTTCAAATATAACAAGCGGCCTAGAAAGCTCTTTCTGCTTCTACACTTGTCGGTTTTATTGTCAACAAATACTCATGAATAGAAGACAAGTATTTCCCTTGAACTCCTTCACTTTCACATGCAATCATTTCCTTTCTTAATGTTTTCTCACAATCTTTCTCTTTTTTTGGTATTTATGCTCTAGGTTTTCATATCTTGCTGGATTTGCATCTGTAATTCTTTCTGTAATGTCAAATCATTTTTTAATGACGATGAATCTAAGTTATTTTCTACTATATTATCTACGTTTTCTTTAAAGCTATCATCTTGAACAACTCTAAGATATTTTTCATTTCTAGTCTTACAACTTTTTTTTTCGGCATAGTACATGTATCATCAGTTCGTCTTGTATAATCATCATTTTTTTTAATTCTGTAAGTATATTAATATTCATGTTTTCATTTTGAATTGGTTTCAAAAGCGACACGTTTGTTTTAGAACTTTTAGACTAGTACCTGCAATGCAATACAAATAGGTACATACTTACAATTTAAAACGTTATCTCGGTCACTATGTAAGAAGAAAGTCGTATTATAAAGAAAAATCAGAAATATGGTTCGTTACTCAATTCATTTCTAAGTCTAATTATTTATTTAAATCATTCTCGTACTCGTAAATGCAACATAAACATAATTCATCTATCAATTGAACACTAACAATGTGTATATGTGTAGTGTGTGAGTCAGCGTCGAACCACTCGTACACACCACGCATTTAAGTACCTTCTCTTGCAACAACGCGTGTATTTTTTTCAAGAAATCGGCTTCATGTATTTTTTTTAATTTACCGGATCCGGTAGACGCCTAATGATGCCGGATCCGGTTTTCCGGATTGTAATCCCTAGTTGCTAAGTTTAATCACTATCTAAGTTATTTAAAATTCATTTGGAATAAATTCTTTGTTCAACATTGAGAATAAATCATGACGGTCATTTCTGACGCAGAGAGATAATATTTTTGCCTTTGGTATTAGATTTAACACGGTTAATCTAGTCCTAATGGTTGGCGAAAGTTTTGTGAATTTAGCGACAGGACCGTACAGTGTTTTTAAGTCTACTCGTTGTTTGTTTGCGTCAACTGTTTTCGTATGCGTTTGTATACGCGCAGCAGAAGATAACTCCAAAGTGTTAGGTCTTTATGCGCTTGCTGTGGTGGCAAACATCACACTGAAACACATAGAAGTTTCCTCCCTTCTTGATTTTTTGGTGCACAAGCTGTAATAGCCATTGTAGAAATTACGATCATCATTATCCGTGCTATAGAAGCGATGCTTTTGCTTACAGTAAATCAGGAGACTAATAACTAAAATGATACATTTCCATCCTAAGATCTCCCTTTTACTTGAGAGGGACACTGAAGATGACATTTTTTTATTTTAAACTACCAGAATAAAGCGTTATGTTTTACGCAATAATAAACACCATTTAATTAATACTTAGAAATATCCTAAATTTCTACTCAATTAAAAAACAGAAATGTGAACAATTCAATATTTTAAAAAGCGGGTATGTCGGTGAATGACGCACGACAGAAGAGAAGCTTCTTATACCCTTTTCTATATAACTAAATGTATAATAGTAGAATCATACAGTCTCTCTTTCTTTCAATTCCCTCCCCATATTATTTCTATTTATAGAAAGAAAACATTAATCGTTAAGAAGCGTCGGTGGTATAACGGCTAGCATAATTGCCTTACAAACAGTTAACCCGGGTTCAACTTCCGACCCACGCAGTTCTACACTTTTGCCCTCCGCCTTTCATTTACAAAAACAGAGCGCAAGCGCGCATTCCGTATCAACATAATTATACACACAGCCTACGAGAGTATAAATATACGTGACCGCATCGATGGGCTTGTCCTGGTATGATGTCCTTCCGTCTCGTGACGGTCGCTTTTTCTATGCTGACTCCCCATCCCGAAGCCTGCGTTAAGAAGTTTCGCTTCAAAAATCACGCTTTATAAATGATATTCTTTATTTAAATTTTTGCTTCAAAATAAAATATTATAATTAGATTTTTTATTTGAGTTTTCCCTTCAATATAAGATTAGGATTATAATATAACGAGATCGTATGCATCTCAAAACAAGTTTTTTGTCAATCAGTTTAATTTCGAAAAAAGAAAAATCAGTTTAAAACGAAATCAGTTTAAACCGAAGTTCGATCAGTTTTCCGAAACCGATCAGTTTAAAACGAAATTTTAAATATAAAAATATCTCATCAAATTTTATTTAAAACTTGATGTAAGATTATTTAAAATACTTTATCCATATCATGATCGGTTAAATTCCTTTTAGATTTATTTGATACTAATAAATTTTGGAACTCTTACAGCGACATTATATTCAATTGAATGTAAGTTCGCTACAAAGTCTCATTTAAAATTATCGAAAGAGAATCAGAATATGATTACTTGAAACGATTAATCATTTTAATTTGGTTTGTTTTATTAATATTTCAAATGAATTTTGCATACTAATTACGAAACTTTTCTCAGCTCGAAAACTGCACGAGATGTTTTTTTTAGAAATATATAAGAATTCCGAATATTAAACAACAAATCTTATTATCTTCCTTACTTTTTCCATACGCCTATTCAATCTCATTACTCTTATAAAAAGTTGCATCGAATGAAAGGAAAAAATATTTATTCTTCATTTGAACCACAGTTACATTTCGCATGCAGAAAGCATTTCTCAGAATAAAAGCTGCTATGTCGCAAAAAATTTGGCAAAAAATAACCAAGCTGGCTACTAATATCTCCAAAGCTTTCTTCTCATCCGAGTCAAAAATAAACAAATGGTTTTAGAACATCCATTAATCACAGTCTAGAAATACCATTCTCAAAACAAACTAGTACTGCTGATCATGTTGTAAAAAAAGCTGGAAATATCCGTTGCATTTTCATCCACTTTTTCCAACCTGCAATTAGTCTTCTGGTATGCAATCCCTTTTATTAAAACAGAACATAAAGGGTTTTTTTTCTCACATTTTCTTCACACATTTCATTTCTTATTGTTTCGAAATTAGTTTTTTAGCCGCCATTATCCGGCTAGCTCACAGAAAGTGAAATTGACGGTTAAAATAACGTTGGGCCACAGTGAATTTAAATTAAATTTATTGTTCACACATCTTCCACATAGAATTATTCTGGATTAACTATGATTATATTACATTTAAGTTACAATATTCAGCACTCTCCACATGTCTAGTTTTGCCCGTCTCAGTAAGAGGGAAAAAAAAGGCACCTTCTCGCACGAAGTTTCAAGTCGCTCTATCTTGCTTCGGATTGGCAAAATTCTTTGCAGCGCCATCCACCGGCAGGAGGGCGAGACAAAATGTGTTTGTCATAGTTTGAAATAAAATAAAAGCCCAATTTTTTAAAAATTGATTTTAAAATGTTTTTTGACTTTCGTTTCTTGAATAAAACATAGGAAAAATAATTTCAAAAATCCTAATTTGTTTTAAGTATGGTTTATGGCTAAAAAACAGTTAGTTACCAACTGGCAACATTAGGCTTTATTTCAGGGAAAAGTTTCCTTCATAAAATTCTATAATGTGAAACACAGATTAATTTTAATAAGTAATAATACGAATAAGAAATTTCCTTCAACATTGTAGAATAAAATATGGTTTTCTCAAGCGTACAAACAAAGCAAAAAAAGAGGCAGCCTCAAGTGGAAAACATCAGTTTTTTAATTTTTTTATCAGCACTCAGGCTGTCATCTATATGTTGTAAATTGAATTAATAAATGTGCGATTCCGTTTAATAAACAAAATGCCCACGGAAGGGTTACCTTTAAGGGGCAAGTAGATCGGGTTTATGTCTAGGGGATTTAAGGGTTTTTCTTACATTAAATTTAGAACAAAATATCACATGAAATAAATAAGTAGACTTCAAGTTAAATACAAAACATTTATTTAAATACTATAGGGAGAATTTACAGAGGGAAAAGTATATACACAAAAAGTTTATGAGAGTGTTGAGAGTTTACATGAAGTCATATTTACTAGATGAGATAGATTAAAGAGGGATAGATGCTACGAGTTAAGAATATCGCGGTATTAAGATTTAAAGATTAGAGAACCATAAGGAAAGTGAGACGGGTCATAGTTACTTACAACCGGGAGATCGGCGGCTTAACTGTGCCAACACTAATCTGACAACAGAGAGATTTAGAGAGATATTTACATTTCGGCTGCCTGCGGTGCTGCTTGCTCTCAGCGTGCAGTTTGGTTTTATTAGGAAAAAAGAGGGCGCTGCTCGTAGTTCGTACAGAGCAGAACTGTGGTTCCATCTATCGCCAAGCAAATGAATTAATTTAGCTCTTACATTTTCTTTATGCAGTGATTAAATTATTCTTTACGGGTAATATCCTACATAAATATTTTAGCATGTATCCTATCCAACATCAGACATTAGAGCTTCAGTTTTGTTCTCAAGATTTTAGAAGACAAAATTGGGTATGTTGCTTAAAAGCAGCACTGGGCTTGTAAAGATTAACTTAATTTGGGTTTTATTTTATGTATTGAAGTTCCGATAATGTTTCACTAATAATTTAGCGATTGTGCAAAATTAGAATGATTTTCTGAATTAGTAGCATCTAGGGGAAAATCGGGTAAGATAGCGAACTTAAGCTTTGGGAATTTTTCCTGACCTCAGTATTCGTTGCTAGAGGATTATTGTTTTGGAAAAATCTTCCTCAGCTCTTTATTTTAAAGTGATATTTTTTTAAATTTTATTTTCAGATTTGAGATCCCAAAATTTCATTTTAGAAAAAAAAGCATTTTCGTCATCTTACCCGACTGTATGGGTAAGATGACGAAATGAGATGATTTAATTCAGAAAAGTATTTAAAACTGTTGAGATCACAATTTGATCATAACAAATTGTGCATCACAGAAAACAAACATAATCGGAGTAAAGTAAACAGAACAGAAGAAATGAAATATTATGAATCGAAATTTTGGATTCAAACCTTAAGAAATGAAATCAATTACAAAAAATCGCATCGCCATGGTCTTGGATTTTGCCCCAGCCAGTATAGGTGGAATGGGACCAAAGCTTGCACATAAAACAGTGGAATCACAATTCCGCTTTTCCTTGCTCACTGCAAATGATGCATTCCTCATCATCGACGTCCTCTCGGTCCAGATTGTCATCAGCTTCAACGTAAGGAAATTTAAATGAATGAATTGAGTCTCAGACTCAGAACATTAGAAATCGAGGTGTCGTTTAGCTCCTATCTTTTTTTAATAGAATTTTTATCACGTTTGTTGCGTTTAGTATCATTAACTTTAGTCTTCTTTAACTGTCACAATTTTTGTTTATCTTCTTTTTATTCTATCTCCTTTTCAATGAGATGCTCATTTTTCATTGGAGTGCCAGTGAGTTGCAGGAAGGGCAAGTGGCAGTCAGGTAGCACGACGAGCTCATAAATTAACGCGGAGTAGTTCGTCATCTTACCATCCACCTGATTCGTCATTTTACACAACTTGGCCTTTTTATTTAAAAAAAACCATTGAAGGATATCAGCTCATCAGAAAAATTAAAATAATACATCATTGAACATGTCTTTGATTAGCTCTTTACGAATACCACATGTATAAATCAGAAATATTTTCTCCGTGAACTCTATCCCTTACCAAGCAACAACCAAAAGTTGCGCAGGAACAACTCAAAAACACATTACCGCGTACTGTGAATCACACTAATAACGGGGTGAAATCTTTTGGTGTGACATGGTAGCTGGTCGCTATAAATCTCTGATGATACAGAATCGGGGCGATCATTTGTGGAAATTTTTGAGAAAAATCCAATTCGTCATCTTACGCTCTTCGTCGTCTTACCAAAATTTCCCCTACATTTAGCATATTAATATTGAAAAGATATGTTTTATGTTTGCTAAAAATCCTTAAAGCAATTTTTTAGTCATTTTTGTTTGTATGAAGGTCACTAAATCCAAATATAACGAATATACGTGGGTAAGTCATTAAGTAAGTCGCAAAAGATAAGAAAAAATAATTTACCATGATAATCACTTGGAAACAATTTGATTTTTCCTTGCAAATTAATATTGATAATTTGAATATTATTGATAAATTATTGAATTATTGATAACCGAGATATCATTTCTGAAATACTTATTTTTTCAATTATAATTTCCAATATAATGACGGTTTTGAATCCTATCGTTTTATCAGCGCCTCCTTCCAGATAAAAATTCTTAGCAGGTTGCATGCCACAAGTAAATTTCGGAATTGAACATCACATTATCTGCAAGGATTTGCCTCCCAAAGATACGTTTCTTCCAGTTGGATCAAACAGATGAAAGTCCACTTGGGGCTAGAGTCTGGACTGTGGGTGGACGTGCAGCAACTGACCAACAGACTTGCCCTCAGGATTTTCATCTGAGCTGATGACAGGATGAGGATGATGACGACGTCATAGCGAGATCCTCTGTGGAATAGACAACACCAACAAGAATTCTGATGAATGCTGGAATTGAGGAGCTGATAAAACGATGACGGCGTGACCAACATTGGCGGAGATTATGTTGAAAATCAAATTGTTTCCAAGTGATTATCATGGTAAATTATTTTTTCCTTATCTTTTGTGAATCACTTAATGGCTTACACTTATATATTTATTAAAAATTACCGGAACTGAAAAGCAGAAAATTGAAAAAAAAGTTTAAAATCCCTTCGTTTTAAAAAGTAAAAATAAAATGCA